CCGCGCGGGGCGGCCGGGGAGCCGAGGCACCGACGGCGATTGGGAACACAGTCCTGGCGTCACCTGCGATGCCACTGGCAGCCCGGCCTGGCTCACTAGGGATATATATTATTATATTAATTTTTTTTTTTTTTTGGTGAGACAGTATTGTGCTTTTTCTTTTTTTTTTTTTCTTTTTTTTTTTTCCTTTGGTGGAAAAAAGTGAGGCTTTTTTTTATATGCCTATTTCGACGATCAATATCCTTATTTATTTGTTGTAAATGTTGCTGCCGTGTTTAGTCTCTCGTGTGTGTGTCCAACCACCTAGGTGATGATATGTAAGGTTTACATGCTCATACACTATTGCGGGGCACCGGGAGCCTGCAATAACAATGAAGCCAAAAATCTGCCTTCCCCCATCTCCTCCCGCCCCCCCGTATCCCGAGCTCCGTGGGCTGGCTGCTGTTTTAAGGGGATGCTGTAGCTTCTTTTCCCGTTCCCGTTTCCTGCATTTTTCTGTTGAACCTTGCCTTTGCAAGCTCAGCCCAGGCTCTGAGCAGACCGAGCCCGCTCCATCCCTCGGTTGGGCAGGGCGAGGAAATCGCCGGGCACCAGAACGTCCTTATTTCCATTTTTTTTTTCATTTTCTCACTGCATGAAAAAGTATTAATGGAGACGAGAGTTGGATTTTGCTTTCAAGCAAATATTCCTTTAATATTTTCTGTTTTGCAAATGGTGGGAAGGTCTGTTTGAGCCCCAGGGAGCTGGCTGGGAATTAGCCCGTGTGCCAGCGGGGCTGGGAGAGCAGAGGGCATGCCTGTGGGGATGACTCGCTCTGTCCCCCGCATCCCGGCTGGGGCGATGCTGCAGCTCCTGCCTCGGGGGTGCCAGGCTGGAAGATGCACAGGTCGGGGTGTCTCCTTATCCCCTTGCTCCTCATTTAGGACATGGGAGGTTTTGCTCCCCAAAGTGGAGCCGCTTGCGCCCGCCCTGGGGGAGGCGGAGGGCTGGGGAAACAAACCTGGAGACACCCGAGCATGGGGCTTGGAAATGGCCCCCCCAGCCGTGAGCGGTGCCTGTGTGGCCTCTCCATCACCCGCCACCACTCCGGGATGTGCCCAAGCAGGGCTCAGCCCCACCGGGACACACGCTGCGGGACACCAGTTGGCATCTCCGCTGGAGGACGAGCGTTACGTGGATGCCGCAGCTCCGTTTCCATCCGCTTTGGCCCCTGCCCTGGGGGAGGAGAGATTTGCATCTCCTCGGGAGCAAAGTGCAAGATGCCTGTGGGACCCCTAAAGCCAGCCGGGGTGCAAACACCTCCTGCTCCGACGTGTTTTGTGCCAGCAACCCCGATGCCGCTCTCCCACCACCCTGGGGGCTCACCCCTCCATCCCTGGTCCAGCTGATGGTGGTGGCATCTTTCCGTCCCACTGTCTGCCGGGATGTCTGCAGCTCCCGCGGCGGAGCCCAGCCAGGGGACTGTCCCCACGGCGGGGGGATGTGACGTTTGGACGTGGAGGACGTTCTCACAGGTGTCCCACGATGCAGGAGACAAGACGGTGCCCCAGCGGGGTCTGAATCCTCCCAGCGTGGCAGGGACAGACTCTCCAGCCAAGCGATGCTGGTACTTTGCCATGCAGCCCTGCTCCCCAGTTTTGGGGCTGTGTGCTGGTGGCACTTTCTGATGCCCATAAAAAACCGCCCTTCCCCATCCCCAAGGAGACCGACCTCACATCCACGTGCAGTATTTCTGCCTCTTCTGTGGTTCCTGCCCCTGAGGGTGCCCATGTTTCATTGCTGGGGGCTCCTGGAGGGTGTCACCTCGCTCCCTCCCATGGAAACTCCTTTTCCTTGATGCTTTGTGGCCAAAACGCAACTCTCTTGGGTAGATCTTTGCAGTGCCTCCAACTTATCTAACGCTCATCTGCCAGACCGGTCCCTTCCTGGTGCCAATCGATGTTCCCAATGAATGTGACACTGCTGTAATCGCCTCTGCTAATAAATGATGGACCCCACGATGTTTAACATAATTCCCAGGCAAAGGCAAACCTCATTTGCTCTGACACTTTCCCCTGAAAGGCTTTTAATTTTCGGAGGACCTGCCATGCTTTGAGCTCCATCAGTGCTTGCCGATGTCTCACCGGGGAGGCAGCCCTGCAAGAGCAGTGGGTGTGTGGCCCCCCTCACGGGTGGGGCGAGGGACCAGCATTGGCTTGGGAGAGCTTCAGACCCCAGAAATTCAGCGTCCACCATGCTGGTGCTGCCCTTGCTGCCAGCAACCTCCTGCTGTCGCTGCTGCTGGCGGGCTCAGGGATGGAGCCCAATGCCTTGTCCTCCCTTGCCCCTTGTTAAATATTTGCACATTAGAAAAAAAAAAAAGAGCAAAAAGGAAAAAAGTTTTTTGCCTGCATTCAGAAGCTCTGTGCTGGCTGTGAGGACCCTCTTGGTTTGGTGGCGACGGTGAGTTTTCCCAGGCAGAGGCCCCTCCTGCGGGGTCGGGGCTGGCTCTTGTCCTGGGTCCTGGCTCCAGCCCCGTGGCGGGTCTCAGTGTGTGGTCTGTCCTGTCCTGCTCTTGGCATGCTGAGCGTCCCCGAGCAAATCATTTTGGCTCTGGTATTCCCCCCCGGCTATGGATTTGGGGCCCTGGCTTGGATACTTCTAGCCTCCCTTTGGGGAGCACCGATGGCTCCCGACTCCTGAACATCACCAGGATCTGCAGCTTCTCGGTACCGCTGAAAATAAGGCTTGAAGCATCTCACGCTTGGAAATGTTGGCCTTAACTTCCTCGTGCCTCAGTTTCCCCATCAGTGGAATGACCTGGGTGAGCCATCCCCCCTCCGGAGAGCGATTTGATGCCTGCGCCCAGGGGAGCGCGGGCGCTGGGTATGGCTCACGGCTGCGACCATGAGGGTTTGGCATCAGGCACGTGCTCCCTGAGCACGAGGGAGCGGGGCATGAACCGCTGGGTTGGAGTTTACATCACTGAATGATTAATTTTGGTCTTCTTTTTCACCTGCTCATTATTAAAATCGAACAGCCGACAAGACCTGATTTGTTTCTGTTTATACTGGGGTTCCTGATGCCTGTCTGAAATAAAGCTGGCTGCAGCCCTGGTGATGGGAAGGGGATGCGAACCACAGCCAGGCAGAAGTGAGGGTCCAGCCCCGGCGACTGCAGCGTGTGTCCCCCCCCCACCTCTCATTTGTCCCCGTCAGTGTTGCCCCATTAAAATGCCGTGTCTGTACTTTTCCTTTCTTTTCACTTTTCTGTTCGTGCGCTGACTGTTGCTGCTTTGTAACCGTCTTTCCTTGGGCTCTGGGGCTGGGCTGGGCTGAGCTGTTTCCCCCCGAGAGCAAGGACATGGGAGAAGGCTCTGGGGGCAGATTCCCTCCCACCCTCTCATCACTGCGCAAACCAGGACGAGAGAGAAAGAGAAGCGAAGCGGGTTTTTCCTTCGGGGCAGCCCTTTAATTGCTGCGCTTTGTAATGAGACTGCACAGCTCCCGGGAGCATTCCCTGCCGGGTTCATGGAGGGGGGGGGGTGTGTGTTTTGTTTATGGGGGACCCCAGACCTCGTTTGTGCCGGGTACTGGCTGCATCTCACCCGACCGCGCAGAAGCGGGTGCGCGTCGGTGCCTGCCTCCCACACCGGCAGGACACAGCATCCCAGTTGGATGGAGGGGGTGGAGGCTGTGGGACCCCCATCCCAGAGCCACTGCTCCCCCCGAGCGGGCAGGGATGCAAGCAAGCGTCTGCCACCGGCTGCCGTGGGGCTGCGCTAACCCGGGGGGTGGAAGAGTCTCGGGGTCTGGGGCTGAGCCCCGCTTGGAGCAGGGCCGGCTTTGAAGCAGGGCCAGGCATGGCATGGGGGCAGCCGAAATAGCTGGCAGAGCTGCCCTCTTCCCATACATTTAGGGTCAGGGGGGTTTGGACAGGGTGGGTGGGTGACCCGCAGCCAGCTCACTGTCCCATCGTCCCCAGCCCTGGGGTAAAGGCGGGGATCTGGGGTATTTTGAGAGGGCATCAGCCACCCCTCCTTCACGGGGGCATTGGAGGGGAGGGGTCCGGCTGGGGCGGTGGCCGGTGGGGCAGGAGCGAGGGCTGGGAGCGAAGGAGGGAGCCGATGGCCCCGGTCTCAGTGCACAGCCTGGGGGTCTCAGTCACACGTGCCAGCCCTGACTGTTCCAGCGGCACCGCAGGAAAGCTGTCCTTCCCTTCTCTCTCTCTGCTCCTGCGGCCACCAGCCCCTGGGTTGGGTGCCATGTCCCATGGGACCCCTGCCCGGGGGGCAGCCGAGCCCCGGGCTGAGAAACAGCAGCTCCAGCAAAGAGCCTTGTTTGTAAAGATGAAGCCTGTTTGTGCGTCCGTGCCGGTGTCTCGGCTTGCATGCCCTGCTGCCTTGTCTTGAGATGAATTCAAGAGCAAACCAAGCAAACAAAACAGAAAACAAAACAAAACCCAGGAACTTTGTGACAGTGGAAATAAAAGCTTAATGACAGTAACGAAGCACCAGTGGTCTGTGATGTGCCGCGGGGTGAGCCGGGGGAAGGCAGGCGGGCTCTGCAGGGGGGCACGGGTCAGGCTTGCTGCCTCCTGCAGCCCCCAAAGCTGCCCTCGCGCTCAGCGGGGCCAGGAGCTGGGCTGGGGGTGCGACCACCCGGTGCT